TGTGGTGTTGCTCTGTTGATGAGACCCTGGCTGAGCCTTTATCTTCGAACTGTACACAGGCTTCTATTTAGAGCCTCAAAAGCATATCAGTGATAAGAGATCATTACTGTGAGTGCAACCTCATTTCATTTAAAAATTTAGACCATGACTTATTTTTAAACAGAATTTAGCCTGACTACACAAAATACTAGCTAGTCTGTAGGCACTACCTGACTACAGAAGTACACATATGCAAATCAAAATTACAAGTCTGTTTAGATGGGTCTATTTTCTTAATTGTGAAATGGTGAGAGAAAATTAATATTATATCACACAATTTTACATAATATTTAATTGTGGGGAAAAAATACCACCGATTTATACTTTTAAAATTTTAATTATGAAAAGGAAAAGAAAGGCCAGTGCAGAACCCCGTTCTTTTCATCAGATCCTAATCTCGTAAGCTTGATTACCCTGGAGACTTAGACATCGCCAGAGTGATTAGTGTGTAGTATACACCCACAGCACATAACCGGTCACCAAAACAATGCAGTACTGTTGGCTGCCTGCAGGAAGATCGCAATGAAGATCGACTTCAAAAATAATTTCCATGGATGTCATTCTCCTCATTCTATTCATTTGCATAAAAAACAAAGATAAAGAACTGGCCAAAGGAAAGTGCGCCTCATGTTTACCTATGAGACGTGCCAGGGCGATGCGGTGGCCCTGTGGCTCAGGATCTGCGCCTGTGACCGGAAGGGTGCCGGTTTGTATCCCGTGGCCGGCAGAGGAATCCTACCTACTTCATTGGGCCCCTGAGCAAGGCCCTTAACCCCAAATGCCCCAGGGGTGCCATATAAATGGCTGACCCTGCACTCTGACCCCAAGCTTCTCCCCCTGTCTGTGTGTCTCATGGAGAGCAAGTTGGGGTATATGAAAAGACAAATTCCTAATACAAGAAATTGCATATGGCCAATAAAGTGATCTTATCTTATTTTTTTAATGCCTTAGTAAATCCCAAAACAGGTACACAGAAATGTCACAGAAAACAGACACAGGACCTATCCTTTGCGATACAGCACAGTAACAAGAGCCAAACACAGCAATTAAAAGAGTTTACCGTCTCCACCCTGCCATGGGCTCGATGGCTCCTTTGATAGGGTGCAGGAATGTTGCTATGGCTGCAACAGGCCATGACAGCAGGAGGAGAACCGTCAAGCACAGCACCCGGAGGGGAAACAGCACTGCTCCTAACACAACACACTGCAGAGAGAGAGAGAGAACACACAGCACTGACACTGTCTCTGACACACTGCAGAGAGAGAAAACACACAGCACTGACACTGTCTCCGACACACTGCAGAGAGAGAACACACAGCACTGACACTGTCTCCGACACACTGCAGAGAGAGAACACACAGCACTGACACTGTCTCTGACACACTGCAGAGAGAGAACACACAGCACTGACAATGAATTGTTCAATTAGTATTACTATTTATTATAATGATAATATAATTATCCCAGACTGAGATATTTTTTCTGATGGTACTTTTAATTATTCCTTGTCAATTGTAAAGTTGATTTTATTTAGTGCTGTTGTAATGATGTAGAAATGAGTGAACTGGGTTGCAGAAGTGCGAAGTGTGTGAAGTGTGTGATTTTACTAAATAATCTTAGTAAAATCACACACTTCGCACCAATTTGTCATTCTCTTATACACATTTTTAAGAGGAGCTTTTAATTTATTTGTGAAAATCGGGCATCTGTTTTGGTTCTTACGAATAAGATTTATTAAACATTACTTTGGAGAAAAGATGAGTGACAATAATCACACAAGCTATCAAAAATCACCTGCACGGTGTTTTTTTTATCTTTTTAGAAGTAAAATTACTTTTTCCTTCATTATCCAAGACACCTGGGTAAGGTGTTAATCATTTTAGATTCAAACGGCACATTCCTCATTCTGCTCGGATTATTGAAAAGAGAAAACTAAAGCACGTAATTTGTTTGAGGCAGGTTTGAACGGATTAGGATTGCATAACACCACCCGTGTAAAACCTAGTGGAAATCAACAGGACAATCATTGGATTTGTCGGGAAGAATAAACCCAAAACAGAAATCATTCAGTGCAGTAACGCCTGAGTGTCCTCTCCAACAACAAAAAATGCTTATAGTTTACCTTGATTCTGTCAGCTGTGACCAAACGGGTTTCTTTCACGAAGGGATTAAGAACCGCCGGAAGGAGCAGGGACTCCTGTCTCGGCAGGGCGAACACTCTCTGCGGCATCCTGGCTGGTATCTCCGGCTGGGAGCGGAGCGGTCAGTGCGTCCCGGAACACAGACACGGTTTACGCCGAGATCTCACTTCCTGGTGAGCCAAGCCCGTCGCCCATCTCTGCTAACTCTGGGAGACCCTGCGGGTAGTTTCACCTTGTCAGCGCTCGCCTGGTGAGAGACGGCTCTCTCCGCCCCGCCCCGGGTCTTCGAAAGCGCTTCTACTCAGCGCTATTTCCCTATTGAACGGCAGGTGTCAGCAGGGGTTTTTTATTTTGCTTTTCTAAAAACTTTACTACTTCCAACCATAATCCCCCCCCGGAAAGTGAATGGGTCATGCATTTGTCACAGGACGACCTATACAGCACTGACACTTTTAACATGTTAATAAGCCACGCTGAAACTCCGAGCCCTAAGAAGTACACGGGGCGTGAAAGAGCAGCAGCAGCCGAGGGAAACTGAAGAAAAGCGCACAGCGACGGCACGACTTCATCGTATTTGGCTCAACTTAATAAGCCAAATGGAATATTAACCCCTATCATCAAAACCCACGGCTGGTCTCGGCCTCTTTGATTTTTCGAGTTTCGGAGAGTGGCTCTGTCTGTCCTCCTACACAGTCACAAGAACAGCAGCAGGGCAGTCCTGCACATACTGGACATATGGTAACAATCGTTGCTGGCTTGAGGGCGAGTCGTTCAAACAGTCCGAGAAAATGCAGCTCGTTAAATATTCCACTACAGAGCAGCTTTGGCAACCCGTATTTAAGGGGTTGTGCAAAAACAACCCTTTCCTCTCTACACAGCACTACATATCGCAACACTGTGTATTTAAGCGGCCTGTGGTAAAATAAGGGGAAATGACGCCACGAGACAGAAACAAGGTTTAACGATAAAAATGAGAGATAAAACATACTTGCAAGATAGTAAACTAAAATATGAAATAACGTGCTTCAGTGTCAAACCTAGTGTCCATTCCTTTTATTCTTATTTTTTTAAAACAAAGTACAGCGACAAAGTGCACAAAGCAAATTACAAATCTACTTACGGTCAAGTTTTTTTACAAAAACCCCAGTAACAATAATAAAAAAAAATCGATTATTAAACAATATTTTAATGATACGGTTTTTTTTTTGTCATGACTCCATCATGCAACATACTTACAACCTTCAGGCATCCCGTGCCGTGGTAACTTTCCTAAAGCAACTGATACAATACTGAGCTGATATTTGACAGTTGTTTGGTCGTAGCGTTTCATATAAACACGCTTATTTCTTTAAAAAAAATCCAAAGTGCTACAAAAATGTCCTTTTACAAAACAGGAAGAATACAAACTTACAGTACAACACCGCCAGAGGTAAAAATAGCAGTGTGGACAAATCTCGATTTATACGTAACTAAATGTAGGGAAGAAACAACGGGTGTGTACAGTTTGGTCAATTTCTTTTAATGATGTTAAAAAAGACGTCGTTTATTTTAATTCTGAGATTCCGATGAAGTCACTGCTTATCAGAGGCTTCAGTCCCAGAGCTAAATGTGCGTCATTATTTCAGAAAAATATAGCTCAAAAATAGCCGACAATACGAATTACGAAAAGCGATGCATTTCCCGTCCAGTTGAATAACCTCACTTGAATGTATTCACCACAGAAATACAGTGCGCGTTGCATCGTAGACATGGTCTGTCCAATAACAAAGGAGATAGTATACGGAGTTGTGAAGTGTTTTTTTTCTGTTAGGTATGAATTGGAATCGGAATTAAACTGGACCGTCTGTCCGCGTCCCTCAGGTCTGACAAGGGGAGCCGGGTTATACAGGCAGCTCTTCAGCATCCCAGCCAATCCGATTTAATATCCCCGATTTTCACAATCTTAAGGTTCCGGTCGTCCAGTTTGAGATAGTACCCATCTTTGAAGAAGTAGCTGTATCCTAGGGAAGAAAATAGAAAGACACAATTGTTTTGTTTTGTTTTTTCCTCACAAGAGAGAAACAAGCGAGGTCCAAATTAATTCAGGGCACTTTGCCACAGTAAATCTCTACACGCGTTGAGCACTGTGTATCACGAGGAGCCACCACAGGGTGTAAATTATTATGTTTTTAGATATTTTCATGTAGTTCATTACATCGTACTATTTCACAGTTCTTTCGCTAGTTTGTACAATAATAGGCGATTATTAAATCTTGGGTGAAATTAGGATGAAGGCAGCGCTAAAATGTGCTTACTGGGTAATAAGACTCCCATCAAACATTACCAGAGAAGCCGTTCCTGCCGAGAATGTTTCTAGCTGGTTAATTAGCAGGTAGACACAGGCAGCTTTGTAAAAGAGCACAGACACGCTCTATTAAATGCTGTTTTCTCTGGATGTAAAAAAAGCTGTATGGACAAGTATATGTGGGTAGGTGTGACAGTGTGGGTGGGGGAGGGGGTTGGTGGGTGAAAACTCAGCAAGGAAAACGCATTTAGAGGACATCAGTGACGTCAGAGAGAACTTGATGTTATTACTGGGATTTTTCGCTTTTTTTTTTCCTTCTCTTGCAAAGAGCAAACACTGGAAAGTGACTTCAGAGTTATCTTCAAGCTGATGTTGTTTTAGCAGGCCTGGTGCCAGACATAAGCAGGGGTTGGCTGCCTCCTCCTTAACCACCAGGAATGCTCTGTCTCCAGTCAGCCTCCGAGCAGACAACAGCAAACCAGCATCTAAATGCAGCCCTTATTAAGGAGTTAGCCTGCCCTATGAGCTTACCATCTCCATTAAAATGGAAAGCAGCATCTAAACTGTCTGGGATTCCATTCCAGGCGTCAGCAATCAGCTTGGGGAAGCCTGGGTCCATTTTCTTTTTCGCTTCGTTGTACCTGCAGGAGAAGATAATGTTCCGGATGGGTTTGAAAACAGATGGTTAGAAAACAAATCCACAAATTGCTAAAACACTAAGCATCTCTCAAACTAGCAGAATTCGTGCCAGACTTGTTTTCCCTTTTGTGAACCATGGGACACGACTGAAAACTACGGGGAAGGGCACTTATAATCGTGAGCAGGGGGGGGGGCGTGTCTTTACCCCAAGGGTTGTGGGAGTGTGGAACAAACTGTCCGGCCATGTGGTTGAAGCCAGCAATTTGGCTTCCTACAGGAAGCAGCTGGATGAGATCACTGGACCGATGAACTGCTGGCTACCAAACAGGATAAATAGGCCTCCTCTCATTTGTAACCATTCTTATTTCCTTAAGTCACACCCCCTGTGCCATAACAACATGCACAATTATCTGAAAGGACTGCAATTGAGGGACTGACGTGAAAATGCTCAACAAATGGAAGTGGGTCTGCTGGAGAAGGTGGTGGAGCAGCAGCCTTTTAGATCTCCACTGTGGCGCATGAGGTCTATAGTGATACTGGCTAACTCGTGAGAGAAGACTGCAGGAAAAGAGCGTAGTGAGTCCCTTCTGTGTAAATCTGACATTGCACTGCAGCAATCCCCTTGTCCACAACTGCCAACATATGAATCTGAAAGATGCTGCAAGAGTGTACAGAGCTAATAAACATCACCTCCAGAACTTATCGCCAGCAAAGATGTAGGTTTTCTTGTTTTTGTTGAAGGAGAAAGCAGCATCCACACGAGGCAGGTCAGCAGGCAGTCCCAGAGTGGCGATTTTCTTGGGGTACCCTTTCTCCAGCGTGCTGGCTGAATACACCCACAACTCATTACCTGGCACAGGAAACACAGAAGAGCATCAGAAGAGCTGCACTTTACCTCACAGTCCTCTCCTCTTACCTTCATGGTGCAGGCTCTGTTTCTCTCCTGGGTTTGAGGGACGGCCCTCTGGAGACGGATGGACGCTGGCTCTCTCTTTGATCTAAATCCTGCGGCTGCCTGATTATCCCCTCCGGAGTGATCTCTTGCATCACCTGCCTACAGCCCAGCGGGTTCTGAGATGTGAGGTAAGACTTCCTTGCAGTTCTGGAAAAACCTGGGCTTCAGCTGGCACTGCCGGAGTGCACGGCTCACCTGACCCAGTACACCCTGTGCCCGCTCAATGGTTTCTTACTGGAGCCTCCCTGGTCCCCTGCCGTATCCCAGTCAATCGACCTTTCCCCCAGCGAGACCGCATGCTCTACCTGCAAAGAACACGGACTTCTCCTCCAGTGGGTTCTCGTACACGGCGTCGAATTTCTCTGGCAGCTCTGTCCAAAAAGTGGCCACAAGAGTGGGTCCCTTGGGCTTAGACCTGGGGTTGCTTGATCTCCATAGGAATCTGCGGACAACGGCGAAACAACAAGACATCAGTGCAGATCTACAATGGGCTGATTCATCGGCACATCTGTTTCTCATTACAGCTGGACGCCCGGATGCCAGCAGTGCAAGCTTGTGCTTGCCTGAATGGGGAATGTGCAAGAATGTGAGACAATACCACTTCTCTTGTTCCCTTCAGGTGACCTACATTTCGAGTCATCATAGTACATATATCCATAACAGTAAAAGGCACGCTCTATATGGACAGGCTTGGGAACCTACTAAACTGTCAGAAAGCAAAGGCAGGGGCATGTGGGAGGGCCGCCAAACCCCATTAAAATGAATGCAGTGAATTCCTGACTCAACACCTGGAATTTTGGATTCTTAAGGAGGTTATGAATATGCCATGCACAAAAAGTTCAAATCACTTAGTTAGATCCACTTCATTTTCGAAGTTTGTTTCTGGTATAACAGTGGCAGGAATGTTATCAATAAGCCACTGTGTCCAGGTTACCCATTCCTGACATACAGACTGAGAACAGTAGTCTCCAATTGCTGCCCCGAGGAGGGCAAATTCAAACAGCTGATGTTTCCATGTCAATCTCAAGTGGAATCTGGACAGGGTTAAGATCCCTGCACTGGAAAAACAAGCCGGTGCCTCAGGGGCAGGTGAGAGGCTGCGTGGTGAAACAGCTAGGCCACCCTGTGGGGCTCACCATCAGAGACCTGCTCTGGGCACTACAGCTGCTCATAAGCAATGACTATACTAACAAAATTACAGTAAGGTGTGACAAATTCACAGGACAGTACTGCAATCTGTCCAGTTCTTTGACTAAAGTGCACCATGCCAACCTCAGAAGTATTGACAGAGTTAAACCAGTGGATACAGAACTGAAAATAGGCTGCACATTTTTATGCAAAGGATTGTGGGACCATGGAACCAGCTACTCTGTTGTGCTATTGAAGGTGACATCCTAGCTTCTTAATAAAACCAGATAACATTTTTGGATCAAATAGCTACTAACAAACCAGCTGAATGGGCTCCTTTGTAACCATAATGTAATATTAGTTAACTGTTCTTATGCTTTACAGCAGGGGTGGGGAACGTCC